CACTCTTTCGATAGAGAAATCACAGCTTGATTAAACAAAAAAAAAAAAATCTAAAAGGTGGTCAATGACGACGTACGGGTCGGGTATCCAAGCGGGCGGGTCGGGTCCGAAGTCCTTGTAGCAGCCATAATACATCATCTGATGGAAGGAGAAGGGGAGATTAGGGTCGAGGATCCGCCGGGAAATCTCCGTCCACGTCTCCGGCGTGGCGGTTCCGTAATTACGGATAACTTCCTTGAGATCTCCGAGAAGCTTCTCGGCGACATCGCCGGCGACTCCAAGAGCTTCAACGTCGCGCGTCGTGATGGAATCGATGGCTTTGTACGCCATTTTTTTAATCTAACTACTGCAAATGCGAGAGCGAATCCGTTAACAAAATAAATAAATAAGAGAGAGAATCCATTCATTCCACGTGATAAGGATGAAACTTGGCATCTGCCACGTGGTGTAGCAGAAAACTATTCCGGGTCGGGTTAAGCCCGTGACCGGTTGTTATTTGGGTCGGGTTTCGGCCGGTTTTCGTGAATTGAAAAATAGCCCACTTCTTATGACCTAAAAAAGTATCTTCACGCGCCGTTTTCTGTCGCTGGGAGGCGGTTGGCTTACACGCGCTTTGCCGGAATCGCCTCGGATAAGATTCTATTCAATGCGACCAACTTCCGGGCTCCTGATCTCGCCGTGACTCGGTTGGCTCGCCGGTCTCGGCCGTTGATACTCTGATTCGACTCTTGTTGACTCGGTAAGTCGGTATCCGATCCCTCATCTCTGGGTTTTTCTCTTTCGTCTTCTTCCTCTTCTTATGCGATACGTGATTGCCCGGATCGTTCTTTGTGTATAGGTTTCGTATATCGGTACCATTACATTTGCGTTAATCTGATTGTTGGTTAAACTGTGATTCTGAACAATTAAACGATGGAGCCGATGGATATAGTTGGGAAGTCCCAAAAGGTTAGCCCTCTTTACCCTTCTTTCAATCCACCAATTCATGAATTGATAGGAATTGGTTCTTCGATCGATCGGTTTAGAGGCTTTGCTAGTTTCTTCCCGTTTCAGATTTTGTAATTGAAGGCTCCGGTTAATGCAATTCATAAGTATGTCTGATCGATCGATCAGTCATTTTGAGCTCCATGGAAGGATATTGAATCGATTTATTACAATCTTGCTCGATCCATAGGTTTGAATTTCTCGATGCAACAATGAGAAGAAAAGCTTCATATTTGAGGATGTTAGGTATTTCAGTGCCAATCATCCATCCATTTGAACGACTATTTCATGAATTGAACGGAGAGATTCGGTCATTGTTCTTCATTTGTTAAGACATAATTCCCTACCGGGTTTCGAATAGAATCTCGAGTATCTGAGTGAAGCATGATCATTGTTCTTCATCACGTGTTCCAGCTACGATGACGAAAATTATAAAGGAGATGTTACCACCCGGTGTTCGAGTTGCTAGAGGTGCTCAGGATCTTCTGATACAGGGTTGTGTAGGTGAAGATCATCCTTCGGATTCCTCAACTTCCGGTACGATTTCATCGATTTAGCTAACATAGTGAAGGAATTATCATTTTTCGTATGCTTTTATATGGTCTCGTGCTTCATTCTAATCCCGTGTTTTTTGTTTTTAACACTGATTGCAGAGTTTATAAATCTAGTTTCCTCGGAGTCTAGGAGTTAAGCATATAGCTAGGGTTCCTTCTTCGAACCTTTTGGTATGTATTGCCCCATAACTATAGATCAGATCCACCAGACGAGAAACTGAAGTTTGTAACAAAGAGGATAAACGGACAGTTGCACCCGAGCATGTCCTTAGGGCGTTACAGGTTCGTTTTAACCGTAACCTGTCGGAAAAAAAAAAAAATCTTGTCATACAAAAAAATGTTAATTGAGTCTCGAAATGGATCAACATGAACAGGATCTTGGATTCGGAGAATACATGGAGGAAGTTTATGCGGCATACTAGCAACATAAGTCTGAAACTATGGTACTCATCTCATATATATATCTTCACCATCTCCTCCTACATTTGATTCAACTTATCGAGGAGATTTTTTTCCCGGGGAAATCCCGAATGCAGCAGGACTCACAGAGAGGCGGGAAGTGGAACAGCGTGGCTGAAATGGCGGGGGAAGATGCGGGCCGTCGAACAACAGCGTATGTTTGCAGAAGCTCGTGCCAGGATGAACAGTCGGTAATTCTTCATTTCCGATTCAACCCGAAAACCGACCTGAGACATGAGTCTTCGGATCTAATCGATTTTCCCCCCCCCCCCCTTTTGTTTATACATACATATATATATATATAAAGACAATGTGATTCAGATGTAAAGTAGTAAACATCTGATATTTGTTTAGATCTAACCAGTTGACTTGTAAATATTGTAATATGATATTTGTTGTTTGAGTTTATCTATGTAGTATGATCTTATGCTACAAAGGGAAGACATTGTGGTCTGAAATCTTTCCCATTTGATTAGAGAGTGACTTCTTTTTCATTCTCTCTCTTTTCATTTTTATGTATTTACTCACTAATCGTTATTATTGTTATCATTTATATTAATTGGTTTTCTTTTGTTTATTAATTTTTCTACTTGTTTTGGTAAACGCATTTTCGATTATTTAACATATTACTTTTTTGACAATGTTTCATCAAAATGGTTTCTTTGTGAATTCATTTATTGCTACTGCGTCAGTTGTTTTGTTTTGTCTTATTTTCTTCCCCCCCGTAAAAAAACGTTTTTTATTATTTTTCTAAAACTTATTAATTCCATAATTTCGGATTTATTCTATTTTTAAAATCCTTAATAACTCGGTGTCTTCTTCTCTTCTTTCTTCCACCGCTTGCGAGAGAGGCCGGGGGATCTCTCGTTCATTTTTCCAGGAAAATCTGGCGAGAAAATCTCCATTGATCCTCAGAGCAGGAAAATCAAACTTCTGGTCCGCGATTTTCTCACTCTATTTTCTCATTCTCTCGTCGCTTGTTCGTCCGTTTCTTTCTCGTTACCGTACTCGCTTTTCCCCCTCTCACCATTTCTTTCTGCCGTTCGATTTTGCCGGAATCCGATGATTCGGATCAGATCTAGAATAGAACAGGTTTGATTTTCCCCCGGGAAATGCTGATGGATCGAGAGAGACGGTTTTCCGGTCCCAATGGGACTCACGATTATAGCTACGGAAAAATTCGGGATGAAAATGGTTACGGAATCTCAGATCGATCGGATGGATACCGCGAGAGGAGTCCCTCGAGGCCATCTGCTTCGAAAATCTCGTGGATCATGTCGCCGTCATCGTCTCCGCCGCCGTCGACTTCTTCTCCGCCGTTGCCTTCCTCCTTCTCTCCCGGCGCTGGCTATATCGAACACCGGATCTCCAAGTTCGATACCCTCGCAGGCATTGCCATAAAGTACGGTGTCGAGGTATAACTTCTATCTCTATGCCGCAGAAGATCTTCGAATTTCGCCAGCATCTTAGTTTGATATTTTGTGGTCAATAGGAATTGCATTTGGGCTGGCTATTCTGGCTCCTGAAATTTCGATCCCTGCTGCTGAAATGGTTGATTATATATACTTTAACGTTTTGGTACAACATGCGATTCTGGTTGAGGTGTTGATTTTTTTAGCATGAAATGGTGGAGGATATGACAGGAATAAGTTAATCAAAGGAGAGAGAAACATCACGAAGTTTAACCCTTTTGATCATACGGATGATTAGATTTCAAAAGTTACTGACAATTCCAAATCATCTCCTAACGAGATTTCTCTTATCATGGCAATACGTTTGCCGTTTCTGGTGCTAAGCTTTTTCAGCGACTATCTTATTTGATTACTGCTGAATTATTGTTTGCTGGATTTTTGTTAAAATTCTATTATTATAGTTTACTTTCTTTGTTTGATTCCATCTTTCTTGGCTACTTCAGGTGGCAGACATAAAAAAGATGAATGGCCTTGTGACTGATCTTCAGATGTTTGCTCTCAAGACTCTCCAGATTCCATTGCCTGGGAGACATCCTCCCTCGCCTTGTTTGTCCAATGGCTCCTTGAATCCTGGGTATTTTAGCTTCTCGCTTCTCATATATACCATTTCTCATCCCTCACATCTTCGTTGTAGCCGTAGGGCTTTATTCTATGAGCTAGCTTTTCTTTTTCCAGTGTCCGAGTGTCACTGATGCGTTATTTGTAAGTCCTCTCCCAATGAGGCAGAACATTTGGCATTGCATAATAGGATGTGGTAATGTTGTTTATTTCCCTCTTTATTGAATTAAGAACGATGAAGCATAGATCAGCTATTCCTGATAAACAAAGAAGTTTTGCAACCTATTGTCCCAAAAGGTATTTGACGACAACAAATTAGAAAGGAAAAAGAGAGAAAAAAGGGGGGGGGGGGGAC